CACCACAGCAACAGAACTGAAAGTGGGGAGTGGTCTCTTCACTGCCTCGAGATTCTCCCTGGAATTATACTGCTTAAAGCATAGCAGATGGATTTTGTTTGTCTAAGTTGGAACACTTTTATTTCCTGATCACCATCTCTCTTTCCCCACAAACCTCTGTATTGTACATCTGTATAATAAAATGGTTTTCAAGAATTTCATTCTCTAGTTACTAGGTAACTCTGGAATGTTGCTAACCTTTTAGAAATTTTGCACCTAAAGGTAATTGTGAAACCTTGACTTTTCTGATGTGATGTTTTGCATTTTTCCGGTCGTGACCTTGGAGAAGGGCAGTTGTTTTTCTCTGCTTTTCCCTTTGCAGTGTTCACTGGTAGATACCATAGAGTCCATTGAGAATCCTGTTTCTCATAAGGGAGATTGGGAGACCTTGGATCCCTTAAAAAGAACTTTTCTGTCAACCCAGGTTTTTGACCTACTTAAAACTTGAGACACAGTAGGGCGCTGAGCAAGAGAGAGACGATAAAGCTTTCTCAGTTAAGCAGGAGTGGTTGGTAGAGTCATTCTGTGTGCAGCCAGTGATAGATCGGTAGTAGCTGCTAGAGGTCAGGAGAGAGGTGGGACTGAGTCATGAAGGAGGTGACTGCCGGTGATGCCGGTCATCAGTCATCGTGGTAGGGAAGAGCACAGCCCCTGCTGCGCAGCGCCATCCCAGGTGGAAGTGAAGGGAGAGTGCGGATGGAGGAAAAAGAATGACTTGTATTTGGTATTTGGACACACTTACTTTGTTTATGGAAAACACTTCCAAGAATTTCAAAACCTTTTCAATTAATAGGGCTTTTGCTGTTGTTACCACTTTGTAAACACATTTTATTTTCCCACTTTAAAGCCACAGGGTCGACTCGTGGATGAGAACTCAATTGCTGCTGCATGATGTTCGAGACTGGCCTTGGCTGTGTGCACAGTTTATCAGGACTATATAGGTTTTTCATTGTGAACTGTAGCTCTGATCATGGTAAAAAGTTAATCTTTTCTATTTTTTAGTGAATATTATACCAGCTGTTCAAAGGAACTCATGCTTAAAATATTAGGAAAATATCCTCTCTTATATTTTCACTAATAAATATTTGAAATCTGTCAGTGCTATAAGGAGTATCAGTCCATTGTTATTATTGAAAGTCATTTTATGAATAGTAAATTCTTTAAAAAGTAAGTGATTTGCATGTACAATATCAGAGGAGAAAAATTAAGCTTCCCAGAAATGACTGGACAAGCAGAGGAAAATGCACCAAATTTGCCCCAGTAAGATTCTGAGTCCCCTGTGAGAGTCTCTTCTTAGAGGTAGCTAAACTGGAAATATATCCATCCTCGTAGATATAAGGTGTGCTCAAAATATATACAGAACGTTTTGTAAACAGTTGTAGGACTGTTACAGAAAGCTTTGAGCAAAGCAATGTAAGTTGTCTAACACAACTTACCACCACAGCACGTCGGATGGTTCAGCTCACAGCCAAGATGCACATCGTGGAGCAGTTCATATGTGTGTTAACAAAATCCTAATCTCAAAAGATCTAAACTACAGGGATCTAATTATGAGCAGAATTTTCTAAACTAAAAGTTTTTGAAAAAGGTACGTGGTCTAAATAAGAGCTTTTAGTTGTGATGTGCAGTTTCAAAGAAAAACTTTAAAATTCTTAATTCATGTAAATAAAATCATATTTTGAAATTTTTCTTTGTTAATACCTTAATAATTTAAAAGCACCTGGAAATTTTTATTATTTAAAGTGCAGGAGTTGTAAAAAGGAAATAAGTGATGTAAATAAATATATTCTCTTTCATATTTGCTGGTGTATACCTTTTATTTGAGATTTTTGATTCCAGCTTCATGAAATGTTTTATAATTGAGAACATCATTTCATGAGGTATAATGGAGAGCATTCATTCCATTCCCGCCCTGAATATCAGAGACCTATGCTTACACATATATATGTGTACCTAGCACACACATGTACACATGCACACATACATATAACCACAGCAGCAACAAAACTGAAAGCAGGGAATGCTCTCCAGGATTGGAAGTTGGGAGATCTGTGTTCTAGAAAGGCTGTACTCACTTCCAGGGGTCTGTAGACAATGGAAGAGGCTGTCTTGGGAGGAGGTGAGATCCCCGTGATCACAGCTGCTCAGGTGACGCCACAGGAGCATGACTCGGGAGTCAGATTGCTTGGACTGAATCCCAGCTCTGCTGCTTGCTAGCTAGGTGGCTGTTCAAGTTACTTACCCTCTATGTATCTCAGTTTTCTTATCTTTAAGATGTAGATGATAATAAATACCTGTCTCATGAGCTTGTTATGCAGATTATGTAAATTAATACATGAGAAGAAGGTGGAACACTGCCTGACCCAAAGTTATTGCTCAACCAGGGTCATCTATTTGTCATTGCTTTTTATGGGAAGACGGAAGAGGATCTCTCTTTGCAGTGCATACAAATGTCGTATACGTGTGCACACTTACATGTGTATATGTAAATATATAAAACTATAAAGTTTTATGGAATATTACATGCTATGTACTCTTATAAGGAGCTCTGGTGGTGCAGTGGTTAAGCGCTCAGCTGCTAACCAAAAGGTTGGCAATTTGAACCCACCAGCTACCCCACCAGAGAAAGATGTGGGAATCTGTTTCGATAAAGATTACAGCCTTGGAAACTCTACGGGGCAGTTCTACTCTACCATATGGGATTGCTACAAGTCGGAATAGACTCGACGGCACAGAACAACAACATGCACTGTTATATTCCCTGGTTGTTACCTGCTAAATTGATTTTATGACCCACTGATGGGATGTAGGGAGGCCTTGTGCCACAGTGGTTAAGTACTTGGCTGCTAACAGAAAGGTTGGCGGTTCAAACCCACCAGCCACTCCTCGGGAGAAAGACGGGAAAGTCTGCTTCCGTAAAAAATTACAGCCTCAGAAACCCCTGTGTGATAGTTTTACTCTGTCCTGTAAGGTCGCGATGAGTTGGAATCAACTGAATGGCAACGAGTTTGGTTTGGGTAATGGGATGGAGTAAAACGCTATGGAGCATAGTTCTGCTCTGACACATGAGGGGTTGCCATGAGTCAGAATTGATTCAATGGCAGTGGGGTTTTTTGTTTTGTGTTTTTAAACGGGTCATAACCTGCAGTTTGAAAAATACTACACAAAGATCTTTCAGGTCCTTTCGAATTATAAGATTGTTTATTTACATAAAGATCTCGTTCATTAACACTGCCATTGTCAAACACAAAGTATGAATTTGAACAGATGGATCATTGACACACTTTAAAATTATTAAACATTGATGTGAATGTGATTTGTGTAACTCGGAACCCTGGTGGCATGGTGGTTAAGAACTCGGCTGCTAACCAAAAGGTCGGCAATTCAAATCCACCAGGCACTCCTTGGAAACCCTATGGGGAATTTCTACTGTGTCCTATAGGGTTGCTATTGAGTTAGAATCTACTCAACAGCAACGGGTTTGGTTATTTGGCGGGTGTGTTACTGAGAAAATGTACCAAACAGGCCTGTGCTTTTCCTTGATCTTATTTAGAGTGGGCAGTAATCTTTCCCAGCCATCCTTATTCTAAATTCTACTCTGAACTTAGCTATTTACCTTTTTTTAAAATTATTATTATGGTAAGTATGTAGATAACATTTGCCATTTCAACAATTTTTGCATGTGCAGTTGAGTGACATTAGTATGTTCATCATGTTGTTCACCTATCACCACTATTTACCTATTTTGAAATAGAATTTTAGATCAGAAGTGCTTGAAATCTTGATCTACCCTGGGTCCAAAAATGGAAACTGCCAGTGTTACAGCAGCTGCTGACTCATTAAGCTTACAAGAATCAAGAAGGCACTAAGTCTGTCCCTTCCTGCCTCTCCATGCCATCAACCGCCAATTGTCTGTTTCTTGTTACCTTCTGTTTTTGTAGTGTGTTACCATTTGATTCTCAGCATTGCCCTGGACCAGTATTATACACCACTCAGGAAACACATTTTTAAATAATTATAAATTTGGGGGAGGTAGGTATAAAAGCTTTATTCCTGCATCAAGAAGTTAACTCTTAATGGATAATCAGAGTATGTCGAGTGTTACCAAGAGAATGTGAAGGGTAATGTCTACAGGAGAAAAACAAAACTCTCAGTTTTATATGTCATTGAAAACTAAAGTTCACTTTGTAACGTTGGTCTTTCTAACTCAGTTTTCCTCATTAAGTCTTAAAAGTTCCTTATCCTTGAATTCCTCCAAGAATTAAGAGGTTTTATAGAACATGATGCTTGCATTCAGTTTTTAAAAATGTCTTCACCTTTTAAAGGAAGGATTATCACTTAAATGACATACTATTTATGTTTTAATTCAGTTATTTCTTCCATGCCCACGTTATATCTCCACCCAGAATATGAAAAGTCTTCCAGTGGATACTGTCCCCAATAATTGCTGTTAAAAATTCTAAGTTGTAATTTCCACGTTGGTATTGCAATGGGAGAGAAGGGCTTGTAGGGGAAAAACACAAGTGCAAATGTTAAGCTCACTCTTAATAGGAAGAGTCATCCGGTCCTAGCAGATATCCTTCTGAAACTCTCCCTTTGGACCTTTTGTTGTTGGTATGTGCTGTTGCCTTGGCCCTGACTCATGGCAACCCTATGCACAAGGGAGGAAATGTTGCCAGTTGCTGTGCCATCCCGATGCTCGATGTAATTCATAGGATTTTCATAGGCTGATTTTTGGAAGTAATCTCCGGGCCTTCCTCCTAGTCCTTCTTAGTCTTGAAGCTGTACTAAAACCTATTCAGCATCGTAGCAACAAGCAAGCCTCCACTGACAGACAGATGGTGGCTCTGCCCAAGAGACTTTAGAACCTCAGAAAAGGTACCCAAAGTGTTCAAGTTCTTAGTTTGAAAATTACTTCGGGAGGTGGGTTGTATTGTTTAATGGTTGTTGTGTGCCGTCAAGTCGATTTCAACTCATAGTGACCCTATGAGATAAACTGCCCCATAGGGTTTCCAAGGCTAAAATCTTTATGGGAGCAGATAGCCAGGTCTTTTCTCCCTCAGAGTTGCTGAGGGAGAAACCCCAGCCTTTCAGTTAGCAGCCGAGCACTTAACCATCACACCACTAGGGCTTCTTTTGTTTAATGATAGAGTGAATAAATTGTAGAGATCATAATTTTCAAGACGTAGTCATGTACAACATAGTGATTAAACATTGTTGAAACGTACACTTTATCCTCCCCCTCCCTTTTTTTCATGCCTTGTGAATTCAGCCTACAATCTAAGAACTAAAGCTTATCTAGATAAAGCATTACAAACTGATGCGAGTAAAAACAAAATTGATCCTGTGCATTGATATTTAACAAAACAAATTCAGGTACAAATATTTTTTTGTTCTAAACTTTTCTGAGGAGTGATACTCATGCCATTCTTTGGTGAGTCCCACAGCCATCTTCTTCCCTTTATTCTAGCAAAGAATGCCATTCCCAGTCACATCTATTAAAGAGCACCGTAACCCGTTGAGTGTAAAACCCCATATTTTTATGAAAGAAGAAATTCATAGTTTAATTATATTCAGATCCTCTTCAAAGATCAAAACTTGCCTTTCTCAATTTACTTACACCTGAGAACCACAGAGAAAGTGATCACAAGGCCTTACTGTTTCTGCTTTCTGAAGCATGTTTTACCAGGGGGGAATTAGAATCAAAGTCAAAACTGCCAAGCACTCCTGCATTTCAGGGTATACACACCATGCAAATTATACCCAAGCAATTTTCTAACTCTTTCTTCTCCTCAATCATTAAAATAATAAAAAGCTGATAGCAACCTTGAAGTTGATTGTTTATTTTTGGAATACATCCTTATCCAAAATTTATAAGCACACATGGCAAATGGGAACTGACAAAAATTATCCTTGTTGGGTTGGTTAGAATTCCTAAACTTTTCCAATGATAATTTGTTAACATTTACTGAGTGCTGTCAGACATTGTGTCATATTTTTGTCCCATTTAATCCTTATAAAGAATTAAATGGTGTAGGTACTGTTATCAATCCCATTTTAAAGATGTGGAATCTGAGCACAGAAATTAATTAACTTGCCCAATGTTCTGGTTACCTATTGCTGCAAAACAGATCAGCCAATACTTAGTAGCTTAAAAGAGCAATCATTTTATTGTCCTTTATGGTTTCAGTTGGTCAGGAATTATTGAAGGGTTCATCCAGACAGTTTTGACTTTGGGGCATTCATGCAGTTGTAGTCAAAGGGTAGCTGGAGTTAGAATAGTGCGGATTATTAGAACAGGGGGAGCCGAAGCAGCTCAGGGCTAGCCAAGCATCTCTCTTCATCTAGACTTTCCACGTGGTCTTTGGGCTTCCTCACAGCATGGCAGCCTCAGGGTAGTCATACTGCTTCCATGGCAGTGCAGAGCACCAGTGTGTGTTCTAGCCAGCAAGGAGGAAGTTGCATTGCCTTTTATGACCTTGCCTGGATATCACATGATGTAACTTCTGCTAAGGTCACAAACTCACCTAGATTCTATGGGTGGGAACATTACTGCTTGATGGGGAAATGGTTACATCCTACAAGTACATGAGGAACAGGAGATATTGTTGCAACCCTTTTTGGAAAATACAATCTGCCACACCCAGTGACATAGCTAGCAAGTGGTTAGAAGAGCTGAGATTCAAATCCAGGCACCCTGCCTACAGAGCCGGCATGCTTTACCATTGTACTACCTACACAGCTACTGGTGAACCGATGGCATGTCTTGGATTTGCTTTAAAATACTCCAGAAAACAAAAGCGAAACACTGGGTGGGGGAGAAATGGATAAAACAAGATTTGCAAATGTTGATAATTGTTAATGATGGGTCATGGGTACCTGGGTGATGGATACCTGTTCAACTTTTGGGTTTGAGAATTTCCATTAAAAGGGAGAGAGGAACCATGGGGAAGTGATTAACTTTACAGGGTGTCGGGGGGAAGCAGAAGCAAGGGAGGGCATCCCCCAAGATGGATGCCTGGAGGTGCATTTCTATCATCCATGAACAGATAATGGTACATGAGCTGACTTTGGGAAGACAAGTAAAAGTTTGCAAAATCCATTCCTGCGAACACTGCCAAGTGCTTTTAACCTAGACTGACTTGGCCAGTGTAAAGCTGGCCCTGTTTTTCCTCCCCTAGCTGTTTATATTCAGTTATAAGGGAATTAGGGAAAAACTGAAAACACGCTTAAAACTGAAAGAGTGCTTATAGCTGTCACCTTTGCTACTTCTTGAGAGAAGGGCTTTATCTATTGAAAGTCAAGGATTTGGGATGAAACTTGTGTTCTTTTTTAGCTTTATAATGCTTATCAGATTAAAAAATTGTAGTTTGGAAAATGCTTCAACAGTCACCTTTGGAATCTCAAATGCCAAATTTAACAGGAAAAAAAACAG